ACGCACTGGTGAAATTGGCAATCATCGATGGCGATGGAGGATTTCGAAGAGGAGGAGGCGGCATTTCCCCCAACAGTTCCAGGCCGGGCTGCAGAGTCATCCAAAATGGCCGACTGCGTCGTCGACTTGCTCTTGCTCTCCATGGTAATCTTGTCGTTGATGCCGAACTTGCATTCGGGCATCCCCGAAAGATAGGACTTCATGATCACCTTTCCCGCTACGTGGGCGGAGAGGACTTGGCCTGGGAGAAAAAAAGAGGGGGAACGTCATTAGTGGAAAGCCTCTTTTTAGAACAACTCTTTTGTTTGTGTTTACCTTGCGTCGACATCAGCAGATTGACGTACTCGAGGACGTCCAGGAAGAGCTCATTTCGACGATATTTAATTCCTTCCCTTCGCCAGCCAATCTGCCCCGTCACCTGCGAGGTAATCTGCGCCTGCTCCTCCTTGGTGGCCGACTTCACCCCCTGCTGGGTGATGAAGGTCTTCAAAATGCCGGTGTCGGTGTTCTGCGGGTAGCCAAAGTCGAGGATCTCATCGAGCAGTTCGTAGATCAGCACAAAGTTGTTCTTCACGTTCTCCTCGCTGATCTTGCCGAAGTAGCTCTGCATGACGTCGCACATCTTCAGGAGGAACTCGAAGACCATCGCTGCGGTGACATTTTGCTTGGTGACGGCGGCCAGCCAGAGGTTGCCTCGTTTGACGTGGAAGAAGGAGGTTCGGGCGAGATTGGTCACCGGAGAGCGAACCTGCTGGCGAGCGTGGATGACGTTGACGCGGAAGGCGTCCACGGCGTTTCGACTGAGCAGAAGTTCGAAATTAGTGATCTGATAAGAATGAAAAAGTGGTCAAGGCCCTTACCCAATATCATCGCGGTAGACGCGCGAGATCAGCACCTCGCCCTTGTGGTTGTAGATGAAGAGGCCGCCGATCATCTTTGTTGTTGGTGATGATGGTATTTGGCGGTGATGATGGTGGTTATGAACTTTTGGAACAGAAGAAGAAGGGGTGATCCAAAGACATCAAAAGTGCCCAAAAGTGCTGCTGATTTTGGTGCAGCAGCTGACAGATGCTGATGCTCGGATTCTCTGTCAAAGTGCACTGAAAAGAGAAGAGAAGGGAAAATCGTAGCATCGGGCGTTGAGTTGGGCACTGTCACTGTCAAATACAGCGGTGGTGAGCACTTTTGTGCAGACTGCACTGCGACTGCTCCGAACAGCACTTCAGTGCCACTCAATAGAGCCTGTGACGCTGACTGCTGATTTTTCTATTTCTATTTTTCCAAACGGGCGCCAAATAAAGCAGGCGTTTTTAGTGTGTGTGCAAACAAATCGGGGAGTTTCTTTAGAAAGCAAAAAGTCAGCGTTTTATTTTATTTGGTAGTAGGTTTTTTGTTTTTGGTTGGTTGTTTGACACGGCAATTGACAGTGATTGGTTTCAGAGTTTTGAGGGA